TATCTGTATAATGTCACTCATATATTTCATTTATTTATCATAGATAAAAATCCATATGTTTATAAAATCTATAAAAAAAAATACACATCTATTGGTTATTAAAAAAAACTCGGGCCAAAATGGCATTTTCAGGAAGTTATTAAATCTCTCAAAACCATGACTAATTCATAAAGTCTACCCTTCAAACAGCTGGAGTACATTCTTTCTCAACTTCCAATTTCGGATAATCATAACTCTCACTTCACTTTGCCAAATGAACTTTACTAATCTGCCCTCCACAAGAGTCAAACATCCATCCCCTTGCATTAACTAGTACTAACTCCACTAATATTTCCCTCCAAAGCCACTCTCTGACACTCAAAACTATCCATGTCATTTTGCTCTCCTCGAAAACTTCTCCCTTAAAATCTCTTCACCACCTTTTCTCTTCTCTTCCCTTCCCCTCCCTTGTCTTTTCTCACTCTCAAACTCATCTGGGTTCTTCTCAATTCCCCTCATCTATCATCAAAGAACAAAGAAAAGTTGATGGAGAACACTGAGGATACAATTGCCTCAAATGGGTCAGAGCCTGCTGAATCTAGTAGTAAGGCAATTGAGAGCAATGCTGGTGATAAGGGGTAGAAGCCTATTGAGTCAAAGAAATTTGGGTTTTTTTAATGGTTTTTATGATCTGGGTGTTTGATTTTTAGTGTGTTTAGTAGTAAAAGTATCTTCTTTTCTTGTTTTTAGGGGAGATCGTGGAGTGGCTCGGGGTCTTCTCAGGTATGGTTCTTGATTACTGCCTCTGTTTGTTGAGAATATGGAGAGACTCGTTATCATTATTGGTTTGATTTGGGCATCGCGTTTGCGGGCTGCATGCTTTATGAATTTCGGTAAAAAAATGTAGAATTTGTTGCTCTTTGTTAGACTATGGTTTCTGATTTTGGTTTATGTAACATTTCATTTTACGATCGACTTATTTGTCGAATTTATTGGTGTCTGGGATATTGAAATGATTGGCTGCATGTAATGCCATGGCAAAAGCCGAGCAAATATCTGAAAGAGTCATTGGTAATGTATTGGAAATTTTGTTGTTTTATGGGTGACATGTGTTGAAAGTTAGCACCTATGATTCCTATTTCGATGCATGCTGTGTGCTAAGCCATGCCAATGATTCACCTTTGCCTAAAAATAACAGAGGTATATCTGGGAATATAATTGATTGAGCTGCATGCCTGCATGCAATCAGCAGTTTTGATGTGTTCTTGATCCTTTTATTTGTTTAGGGTGATTGATTTTGAAATTAACAAGTTTAGCATCAATTTGATTCCTCGATTATATCTCCTGACTCCTTCATATTTACAATGAGGCTAACTTTGAAGCAGAACTGCAGGATGAGAAGGCTTGAGAAACAACCATAACCTTAATATAAAGATATTAAGAATTAAGAAGAAAAGTCACACATGCATAATGTTAGCAGGAGTAAAATTTACTAATCGAATCGTAAGTACAAATTTGGAAGAACTTTCACTCTAATCTCACTTACACCAATTCCACATACATAATTCTCACCAAAAAAGAAGAGAGCATACATAATGTCACTTAGTAAAGGCTTTAGTAATGGACATCATTAAACAAGAGAAGGGTTAGGAGTCCAAATTAGGCAAGTTGTTGCAGCAGCTCATGTTTGGAATCAAATATGGACTGAATTAATGAAGAGGTTTCTGTCCAATTACATCATTTATGTTGATTCTAGTTCTAACTCAATTAAAGACAAAAAATGTTTTGAGTTTGGGCTAGGGTATTTGGGTTGGTATCTCAATCACACAGTAATAAGAAGCAATATTGATGCGGAGTCTGACCAAAATGGGCAAATTAATCGAATTTTCAAAATAGACCTCTTTAGGACTTTATGTTTAAAAAACGATCCATTTGAAATTTATTTGCCATTTTCGACCTAGTTTCAGCTAAGTAGCCACCTAGCTGAAACAGGATAGAAAGTGAAAAATAAAGTTTGAAAACTTCACGAGATTTAAAATCCCGTGAAGTTTAGCGTGGTTAATCAGCCGATAAACTTCACGGGATTTTGAATCCCGTGAAGTTTTTGAACTTCTACAGCTTCATTAGCGGGGTTAATCAAGCATTAAACTTCATGGGATTTGAAATCTCATGAAGTTTTCGAACTTTATTTGCCATTTTCAACCCAGTTTCAGTCAGATAGCTGAAACTGGGTTGAAAATGGCAAATAAATTTGAAATGGGTCGTTTTAAAAATAAATTTCTAAAAGGGTATATTGTAAAAATTCCTTAATTGAATAACAAAAATTTGACTAGATAGAAGTTTTATTCTACAAATTCGTCCCTTGTATTTTTATTAAGCTTAAAAGTTATCTATAACTTTTTGATGGTTGAATTGATTTTATGTTTAAGTTTAACAATGTTTTATTTCATATTTTCCTACTATATTCTTTTATTTATAATTTATTCATTTTTATTTCTTTAACTATTTATCAAATTTTCAAAATTGTATCCCCTTTATATTTTAGTGTTCATTGTTTCTCTTGATTTTATTTATAAAATACATTAATTAATTCTGTGATGAAATTTCATAGATTTATTTGCATGGTTTATATTTCAATACGTTTAAATTTGATACAATCATTTAAAATAGAATGATTGTATCTTATTTCAATCATTTAAAATAGAATGATTGATACAATCATTTAATTTTGATACAATAATTTAAAATAGAATGATTGATACAAAACACTATTTGGGTATTGAATAATTTGAATATTATTTCAAACATACAAAAATACACAACAAAAAAAAGAAGCTTTCGTACGTCAGTTATACATACAACTAATAACTCAATTATAAAGAAGCAAAATAAGGTCAGTTTAGAGGAGTTCCTGCAAAAGATCAAACATCTGGTTTCAAGTTACGCCTCCAAATGAATATGACCCCTGCCTCCAAATGAATATGACCCCTAGCAGAGCACTTTGAAGTAATTTGTAACGTTCCACTTTGAAGGGCTAACATCCTAGTCATTTCATAGAAGGTGAAACGGTTCAAGCCCTCTAAATGAATCACTTCACGCATAAAAAGCGTCTACACAGTTTGTATTCCCTCAGAGTACAAATTCTATCAGAATATCCTGCATATGAGTATGACATTCTGAGCCATTCATAGAAAGGTAGGTGGGAGTTTTGGATAGCACCGGTGGGGGTAGTTTTGGGATATCACTGGTCCTTTGTATGGCTCATAACACCTTGCTCGCATGCGGAATGTTCTGATAGGATGGAATTCCCCTGGGTCAAATCATAATTTATTTCTTGGCTTGCAGTTTTGGAATATCACTGGTCCTTTGTATGGCTCATAACACCTTGCTCGCGTGCGGAATGTTCTGATAGGATGGAATTCCCCTGGGTCAAATCATAATTTATTTCTTGGCTTTAACCCTTGCCCAACTCAAATTAGGTATTGGATTACTTCTTCCCTAAGTTGGTCACAAACCCAATATAAATAGAGTACGCTCCTAGTGCCTAATGTCAGAACCTCAAAGCGCCGCCTACAATGAAAATCCTAGCAATTAAAAATAAGGTTTGGCGGCTGCTGGGGAGGAGGAGCAGACAGGTAAGAACTAGTCACCACCTTTGTTCATTCATGACTATTATAAAATTTAGTGATTTGTTTCGGAGAGCATGAACTTGATTGTTGAGAAAACTAGTTTAGATCACTTTTAATGGATAGATCTAAATTGAATAGGTTTGTATGGATAATTAGATTGAAGATCTAACTTGGGAAAGTTGGTAAAAATTAGCACGGATCGCTTATATGTTTCACTTCGTAATAGATTAGAATAGAAAGAATGGAATGTTCTAATAATTTGTCAGTCACGGAATTTAATGTATCTCATTGTTTAGTATCATTTGTGGTTAGTATTAAATTAATTGTTTTTCACGTGATTAGATTATTTATTTTAATTAATAATTCTTTTAATTTACAGTTATATGATTTGATCCGAGGTAGTTTGATGTTGATTGTTGAGCAACGTAGTTAGATCACTTTTAAAGGAAGATCTTGATTGAATAGGTTTTCGGATTGTGAGATCAATTGAAAAACTTGGTAAAAATCAGCATTGGCTTTTGATATGATCGGTTTTGTAAAAGATTAGAATAGAAAGTTCTATTTAAATTGTCAAAGGCATGAAATTTGATGTATTTCATTGTTTCAAAAAAAATCCATTGTATCTATGTAATTAGATTAATATATTTTAATTTATAATTATGATTATGTTATCATTCATGCCTTTGTTATAAAACATAGTGATTTGGTCCGAGTTAGTCTTATCTTGATTGTTGAAAAACCTAGTTATATCACTTTAATGAATAGATCTCAATTACTTAGGCTTCTGAATACTTAGATCGATGATATAACTCCGGAAACTTGGTAAAAATTAGCATGGATTGCTGATACGACACACTTTGTAAAATATTAGAATAGATAGTTCCATATAATTGTATTCAATTGTCAACATCATGGACTTTAATGCATCTCATTGTTTGAAAAAATTATTTAGTATCATTTTTTTAATAATCTTAAGTTAATTGTTTTTATTTAATTACATAAAGCTATTTTAATTTATAATTATGATTATCTTATCAATTTATATGTATTTAGGAAATCAATTATTTGCTATTTGACTTATGGATTAACTTGTCAAGTTGCTGATCCACTTTAATTAGAAATATCTGAGCGGATCATGTTTTTAACAATGATGTTTTGCAAAAAAATAATAATAATAACTTTTCCATCTTCCTTTAGTTTTTCCTTGAGATCTTGACATGTTAAACTCTAGTTTCAGTCTGTGTCATGAGCCTCGTTTGGAGCCATTGCTCATATATGCGGTGATAAACAACATTTGTCAATGGGATTGATCAGAGATGAAGATACTATCCTTTCATCTGTCAATCCTTCTTGAATGTGTATTTTGTTCTCCTATGTATTTTATTGTTAGCTTATGTTTTTTTTAACGTGTATATGGCACTATTTTCTCATTAGTGATATGTATTAAGAAAGGGGATAACGACACTCCCCAAAATTTATGTCTCTACATTTGCTCATCCTAAGTCTTTTATGTAACCTGTATTCTAGAAGCCAGCAGCAGCAAATGCATCATCTCCATCCATCCAAAATGCCGGAAACACCCAAGCTCCATCTATGATCAGTACCAATCACACAAGTAATTATGGGCAGGCCTTCTCTGAAGAAGTCCTAGAACAACTATTAAGGGATCCTCAGATCGTTGACATGATAACGGTCCCTAAAACTCCAACTGGACTGCCTCTGCGACCTGTGAGTTACTACTTTTCCATTATGTATTATATACAATTCTCAGTTAGGTAAATTTCACCAAACCCCCTTAAGTTTGGCGGATTTTGAGATTAACCCCCTTAACTTTAAAAAATGTCACTTAACCCCCCTTAATTTTTGTCAGATAAGCCCCCTAAGTAACACCATTACATTTGACTGCACAAACAAGTATCGCGTGCGTTCAAATGACTAAAATGCCCCCCGATGGAAAAACCCTTTCATGTTATTTTTAATAATTTTAAGGGTAAATTTCTATAACCTCCCTGATTAAGTGACATTTCTAAAGTTGAAGGGTTACCTCAAAATCTGTTGAACTTAAGATGGGTGTTGTGAAGTGTACACTTTCTATGTTTGTTACATACTATTTGTAGCATTTTGGTTTAATACATAACATCGTGTTTTTTAGGAACGACCTGTGTGCTTTTTCTATGACGCGTATGGGCTTTGCCAGAAAGGGCCTGCTTGTCTGTATGATCACCCGTATCCATATAATCCTTCGCAGCATCGGGTGGTAGCCACAAGGGAGGGCCAGATAAATCGAAGGTACTAATGCCTTTTGGCTCAACGGCAATATAATAGTTGTCTGATGTAAATGGCAAAAGACTGGAATAAGCCGTAATGTATCAAACTGCTTTAAGTGTTGGAGGATGTCATAATGGATCATTTTAAGATCTTCCTGGTGCTATTTATATGCCTATGATATAATTTGATGAATGTTGTGTTTGTTGGGGGTGGTTTACACCAAATGCTAGGTTTCAGAATGTTTGAACAATGCCAACTTGCAGGTGAATTACTTTCATGCACCGTATGAGAGTGGGTTTGATTTTCAGGTTTAAGAGGGGAAAATTATGATTCATTGATTTTTAGAGCTTACGTCCCTTCTCGGTTTATACAGTGATCGCATTCAATTTGCTGCATTTGTACATATATTTGTTTGTTTTTGGAGCGTTGCTTACATTAGTTCGCATACTTGCGATTTATCTGTTAAATTTATGTAAAAAAATTCATTCATTCACAGAGGAGGTGTCTGCCAATCTTCTGCTTCGGTCCGTGCATCGATTTTATGTTGGCAACATTCTGGTTTGTGTTCATTAGTAGCATATAAGACTGCAACTGCCTCTAAAACATTATTGTAATAATGAGCTATCAATTCTGCCGCAAGGAACTGGGCCAAGCTGCCAAATTACCGTTCTAAAGGAAAATTTTACCCTCGAAGAACCGTTTGAATCAAGAAATCATTTACATGTTAAAATAAGAAAAAGACGGGATTATGGTGCGAGGGATTCGTTTCTAACTCTCTTTTTTTTTTTTTTTGGTTTGCCTCGTTTCCTCAGATGATTTCAAAGTTAGTTCATGGTGCCATTCATTTAACGGATTCATGTTTTAGAATTGATTTTTTGATATACTAATAAAAGGATGGATCTTCATGTCTCATTCTATAGAGGAAGGGTTGCATCACGTAGATATGTTGATTGCTTTTCCATAAAAGAAATGGGAAATTAGCTACATCTTTATAGCTTCACCTTTATGAATTGAAACCGAGGCCGGCTCATGCCTGTTGCCAGCAGAACCAAACATACATGCAATAGACGTTTGTCAACTGATTTTGAGATAAATTGCAGATAATCCTCTTCGTCTATTAATTTATTTAACAGGTAGTTTGTCAGCAAGTCTGCGCTCTTTTATTAGTAAGTATCATTCCTGAATTAGACATTTTGAATAGTACATATCACTCTTAGATTGTCATATTGAGTTTCTAGGGAATCTCCTTTCTAAGGAATTGAGGGTTTTAAAAAACTACTGGAGGTTCGGTTCATTGTTAGCCATCACTCAATTCAGTTAATAATGGATAAACTACACTTAAATGCCTTATTGTTTATCCAATGTTGCAAATAATTACCTCAGTAGCGAATAGCCTCACTTAAATATCTCAAAATTTCTACACCCTCGGTTACTCTCAAAATTTCTACACCCTCAGGTTACGCAGAACTTGAGAATTTCCCCATAAAAATTCTCTGTGGCGGTCATGTGCTAGTTTTAGAATATTTTCAACACATTTTTCTGTTAGATCCATTGTTGAACCTATCACAATTCTATTCTAAACCTACCCCGATTCTATCTTAAAATAGGATTTTGAAATGTTCTAATTGTGGTAGGAGAAATTCTTACGTTTGCATGACCAATGGTACTAAAATGCAAATGCGACTTTTAGTAACTCATATGGTATATAAGTGCAGCCATTTACAACTGTATATTTAATTTAATAAATGAAATGTTCTAAAAATAGCATGTGACGTGATAGGAGAAATTCTTACGTTTGCATAACCGATGGTACTAAAATGGAACTTCTAGAAACTTACATGGCATATAAGGGCAGCCATTTACAACTGAGGATATGCGCGTGCAACACTGCTTAAACACCCCAAATGTCAGCAACAGAGAGCAGCAGCAGTGATGCAGAAAATTACAACGTTTCGCTTCATCTCACGCATGAGGCGCCATCATCACCATTCAGAGTAGCACATTCCTAACCAGACAAAGAAAAGACACCCGGCACAGACACAACTCAAGCGGTTAAACAGCATTCATTGCACACTGAAGATCACCAAGTTCAAGATAAACAAAAAGCACTGTCAAGGATCATCACACCTCAACCAGTATACTTGATATTCCGAGCACAGAAACATAATCCTAGAGCAATGTTCGAGCGCCTGCTTCCTCAATATAGATGATAAAGATCGGAACAAGAAGTAATATATGAAACAACAAAGACTGTAAAAATACACATTAAACAAAATCTAGGCGGTTAAACGCATACATACCACCATTTTTTCATGGCAGAAAACCTCCAAATTCAACATGAACAAAGATGATAATAAACACCTAAACCAGTATCCTGGAGGTCAACCTCCCAACTTATTGAGACAGCAAAATAACCTCTAAAGCATAAAAGCAAACAAAATTAAAAGCAGCAGCATCCTAAGCTCTCTAACCCCAGGAGAGTTCCTCAGTTCCTCTATTTATCTCACACCGATAGCATCGTAAGCAGTATGCGAATTTAGTACTTGTAGTCCTTAACGTGGAGGCTCTCCGAGGCTCCTTCGACCTTAGCAGCATCTCCCTTGTAAGTCCCGAGAGTCGCTTCAGAGTTAGCCTTGCACCTAGCAAGGAACGCTGCCCTAGCCTTCTCAACGTTCTCCTTCTTCCCCGCCCATGTCTTGAGAGTGCTCTGCTGAAGAGCACGACCGAATGAGAAAGACAGCGACCATGGCTTCTTGCCCTTGAGCTGGTTCATGGCGTTCAAGTTCAATGTCGCCTCCTCCTCGCTCTGACCTCCAGAGAGGAAGACGACAGCAGGGACAGCAGCGGGCATTGTCCTCTGGAGGGTCCTCACTGTGTACTCGGCCACCACCTCAGGCTTCACCTTGGCCGAGTCTGAGCCAGGTGTCACCATGTTGGGCTTAAGAAGAGACCCCTCCAAGAGAACCTTGTGGTCGTTGAGGGCCTTGTAGCAAGCTGCAAGAACCCTCTCGGTCACATCAGCACACTTGTTGATGTCATGAGATCCATCAACGAGAATCTCTGGCTCAACAATGGGGACAAGCCCATTCTCCTGGCAGATTATGGCATATCGTGCCAAACCCTGGGCGTTGACGTCGATAGCGAGCTGAGATGGCTCGTTAGCACCAATCTTGAGCACCGCACGCCACTTGGCGAAGCGAGCACCTGCCTCGTAGTACTTGGCGCAACGCTTGCCAAGGTCATCGTGGCCCTGGGTGGTGGTCTCGCCGTTGGTTCCAGCAAGCTCGATGGTGCCCTTGTCGACCTTGATACCAGGAAGGACTCCTCCAGCCTTGAGGACATCGACAAAGGGTTTCCCGTCAGCAGTTTTTTGGTAGAGGGTCTCTTCGAAGAGGATGACACCGCTCAAGTACTGGAGGCAGCCAGGGGTGCAGAAGAGGAGCTCACGAAGAGCACGGCGGTTCTCCTCGACGTTCTCAACATTGATGCTGGCAAGACGCTTACCGATGGTTCCGGTAGATTCATCAGCTGCAAGGATACCCTTGCCTGGGGTGCCAATGTAGGCAGCATTGGCAATGAGTTCATCTGCAATATAATTTACGTCAGACTTTAAGTTATGGGTTGTTGCAACTTGCAACAGCAATGTAAAAAGAAGAAGAACCACATAAGTGCCAAGATTAGGGCGAAAGTAAAAATACAAATAATAGTAATAAAGACTAGTAATTTTAGACCCCCAGATTACTTGAAATAATGTAAGTTTTTCCTTCAAAATACAATTCAAGCTAAAAGTTTACTCTCGAACCGATCTGATCTACACAGCTAAGGAAAATATTATGTATCAAATAGTAAATCCTTCGTGGAAAATGCCAGTACTGTTCCAATTCTACACTATCTTGTGCAGGAACATCAAATTGAAGCAGCTAGCACACGGGTTGCATATTTATAAACAGAATTGGGTAACATGGACTCCAGGGTCATCTACCAGGATGACTACCTTAGAACTGGTACTAATCACTACCACAAGGCAGATCTCAATAACCAGAAAGCTCTGCCCGAAGTCTATGAGAATTGTAGATCAGCTATACAGCTTGTCTACAAGATGAAGTAAATAGACAAACTTTTGGAAATGTATACCAACCATGTAATAAAAAGACCTGTTCACTGTTTTCCCCATGAGTTACACGGAGGTACAAAAATAATCGGCTAAAAGGCTTCATTGCTGCTAAGTTTTTGAAGTACAAAACTTAAAAGAAACTAGAAATTTTTGATCCAATATTCCCTTTGCAACCCAAGAGATGACCACAGGTGACTTGATGCTTGATTGTATTGAAATCCAGTTCATGTACTGTTTTCATTTTTGACCATGGCAGTGTCCAAAATATGAATTCTTTTTTTTAATAAATCATTACGGCCATAAGAAAAAGTTCTGAATTAGAAACAAGTTGCCATCTTTTAAACAAGTTTTGTTTGAGCAGCATATAATCAAACAGAACTAGACTGGTAAAAACAGCATCTCAATCAGAAGAAAATAAGAGCATAACTATACATAGTGGCCTACAAAATATTCCAAAAAATAAATAAAATAAAGTATCTACCATCAGATGCACAAAATTAAATAAATCAAGGTAAATAGCAATTCTGATAGGAGAATTTAACACATAATAATAAATTCCATAACAAACTAGCATCCTCAACCCTAAAAACACAATCTTCCACATAGATTCTAAAAGAAACAAAATTTAAACAAGTCGATCAGATCCAATCAACCTAACCACTAGATCATTAACTACAAATAGTTAAGTTTTTTCACTGAGATCTCATCCAACTATATTAAGACTAGTTCAGAAGGAGAATCCGTATCCAGGTCTAACAGATCAAACCAAAAATATCAAAATACCCTCTTTTTTTTTCAAATTTACAGATCGTTAGCAGCACACCATAGATCTGAAACGCCGAATCAAAAACTCACAATATTAGACGGATCTATAATCAAGCTCTAAACATCAAATAGATAGATCAAGTAGATATCGAAAGATCAAAACAAAACTATGAAAGAAATTTAGGGTTTTGATCAAATTTACCAGCGTATTTCCCTCGGTAGCAAGACATTTTTATTTATTTATTTATTTTATTTTTTCTTGAGAGGAGAGGAAAATTTTCTTTGAGAGGACGGTGAGAGGTGGGCTGAGTGATACGGGTATTTATAGAGACGGGGCGAACCGCTTGGTCGAGCGCAGGCGTTGGGGTCGGTCGCGAAACTTGTGGGAACTTGTGGGTGGCCGCTGTATTCGCATTCAGCCCCTGGATGTTGACTGGACCCACAACTCCAGCCCCACCACGCCTCTCCCTTTCTTGCTCCACAAGAAGGAATTTTATTGGATTATCATTTGCTGGGTAAATAGCACTTAAACACCTTAGAGCAAGTGCAGCAAGCTCCCAGTTGGGAGTCCTAGTCAGCAAGCTCTCAAGAGCTCTCAAGCATTTTAGAATAAAAAATTAACAAATTAAGCCTTGAGAGTCACTTCTTCTTTTATGGAGCTCCAACAAGCTCCTAGTTAGGAGCTACAACAATATCAAAAACCCCTCTTCTATCAAAAAACCCTATCAAAAAAACCCCTCTTCTATCAAAAAACCCCTCTTCTATTGCAAAGGTACAAAAGCAAGGAGTTTTTTGTTAAATTTTTTTTTTAATAGCTTGAGAGCTCCCAAGCGCTCCACAAATTTGTGGAGCGCTTGGGAGCTCTGTGGCACAAAGCCCTAGGCTTTGTGCCACGGAAGCTCTCAGAGCTCCCTTAGGAGCTTGCTGGAGCAAGTCCAGCAAGCTCCCACCGCCACCTCAGCCTTAGGAGGTGGGGTGGGAGCTTGCTGCACTTGCCCTTATATCCCTATATTTTTACGTGTTTTTGCACTTCACCCGAAGTATTAATTTGACTTGATTGCACTTAAGTACCCTATGCTTTCCCCAACTTATCACTTGTATGGCTGACAAAATTTCAAAACCAACATGTTTGTCAAAAAAATTTCAAAAAAAGACTCGTTTCAAATTTAATTTTAAAAACCGGCCCAGTTGGGATGAAACTAGGTCGGTTTTAAAAAAAAAAGTTCTCAAACTTCACGGGAGTTGAAGTCTCGTGAAGTTTTTTATATAACAAAACTTCACGGGACTTCAACTCCCTTGAAGTTTGAGAACTTTTTTTTTAAAACCGACTCAATTTCAGTCAACTATGTCTGTTTTTAAAATTAAGTTTGAAATGAGTCTTTTTTTAGGAATAAAATTCAAAACAGGTCGGTTTTGAAAATTTGTCCCTTGTATGGCCTCACTTGGTCGCGGCAACACTTATATGCTTTAGAGTTTTTGGAACTTGCATTTATGTATTTTCACTCGTTTTGGTAGCGGTTATATACCCTAACGTTTTTAAAACTTGCACACAAGTATTCTAATTTTTTTAAAATTAACACTAAAATACTCTAAAATTTATAAGATGCAGGGTATTGAAGCACAAGTCTTTAGAAAGTTAGGGTACATAAATGTAAGTTTAAAAACTTTAGGCCCCATTTTGACAACGGGTTAGCAAGGATTTACAAAAATTTAACCCCTCATTGTAGGGGTTAGCATAGTTCGGTTCAAACCGAACAAACCGACCGAACCGGCAGAAATTTGACAGTTTGGTTGATTTTTACTAGAGTTCGGTTCGGGTCAAGTTGAAGCTTTTTCAACCTGAACCGTCCGAACCGATAGAATTGTATTATCTATTCTAATTACTATCCGGATTTGCTTAAACCCGAACCGTCATAGTCATATAGAGTTGTTTCACTATTGCTTGATATTTTTTTTCTATCACGCGACCTGATAGCGATGAAATATCCCAACAATGATGTCCTCTCCAGTTTTAGGGCTTTTCATCATATCTAGTTCTCTATCTCTCTCTATTATCCACTTTGGAGGTAAGAAACTTAAACTATAATGTTGATTCTAACATTTTCTTGATTTTTCTCCTCGATTGATACACATAATGCACGAGAATCTTTGGATCAGATATCACTTTCGACCAGACTTATAATTTTATAGAATCTATACCCAACATCCAAATTATTACACATTTTTTATTTACTTTGCCTATCAGATTGAGATCATTTTAATTCTTTATGTAAGCTTTCTCTAAAAAAAATTATGTAAGCTTTGGCGGGAATAAGAATTTGATTTCTACATCTAACAATTAGTAGCATTTGATAGTTCATGAATTTCAATAAATTGAAGTATAAGAGACTTCTTTCTTCGTCAACAGATTAGAGGTGAAATTAAATTTGGACATAACATTTGTACACAAGTGAAAACTAAACAAACCGCACCGACTCAAGTCGGTACGATTCGGTTTTGAATGATAGGCAGTTCAGTTTGGTTTGGTCAAATTTGGCCAAAAACCAAACCGACCGACCGACCGACCGATTGCACAACCTGTTGTGCGCCGCGGAAGCCCTAAATTGACAAATCGAAGGCACACACAAGACAATAGTAGACCACAA